CTAATGAGAAGAAACCAGTATCTTATTGTTTTGCTTTCTGATATCAACAGGTCTTTTAGCCAATCTTGTCTAGATAGACTGTAAAACAGTTTTTCCTTCTATGAGGAAATTACAACAGAATATATTAAGTTCCAAAAGGGTTAATGTTTTGAACTACTTTAAATATCAAGGCAAAAAATGAGAACATTTATCCAAATGAGTTTTCTTTTTTAATTGAACGTATGTCTTTTAAAGCTAATGGAACAAAAATTTCCCCAAAGAATTTAAAAAAACCACAATTACTGTTTCTATTATAATGTAAGACGATTAAAATGTGGACTAGAAGCCTATTATTCAGGGTAGCAAGAGGGTAGCAACTAGCTGTACCCCAGAGAAACAGCATTTCAGGACTGTGTGTGTTCACTCAAAATAATGAAGTGGCTACTGCACAGGAGGCACTAACTGCTGCGGAGGAAACCTCACAGGGAGGCGTAACACCCTTCAGAATGCACAAGGGGATTCAGACGAGACCTGGGCACCAATAACATGGATGTAAATGAACACAAGAAACGCTCTTTCAAAAACTTTATAGCGAATTCCACCCTGCCCACAAACGTCTCAGGGAATGTGAAGTGTAAGCACCCCTTCCACATATATATATGTGTGTGTGTGTGTGTGTGTGTGTGTGTGTGTGTATGTGTGTATGTGTGTGTGTGTGTGTGTGTGTGTGTGTGTGTGTGTGAATAGCACAGGTCTAACTCCACTAAGAATTTATGAGGATAACAGAATTTTAGAAGCTACAAATGCAATACAAGCTGATGAAATAAAACTTGTTAGAAGTAATACCATCACAGTCTTTCTGCTATTATACTTCCCAAAGATCTTTTCTTGCAAAGCCCAGAAACCTCAAGGAAACCAAAACCCATTTAAAACACTTCCTCACCTCCTCTAATCCCAATTCCAAGACAACACTTGTAAGGAGCTGTTTCAAATGTGGTCATGTAATGAAATATGAATTTTTAAACACAGAGATTGGCTGCTAGCTGAATTCCTTTGTCTCTAAAAATTAATGACAGAAAATAAAATGCCCTGAATTAATTCAAATGTGCTTCTTTTTTTTTTAATACAACAAAAGAGGCCTAACTAAAATATTATCATGATTAATCTTCCTAAATGGGCTGCCTAAACCCTCACCTTCTAAAAAATGATTCTAGGTTTAGGGTTAATGCTTACACCTCCATTTTTTAAAAATCATGCAGCATAACATAAGAAACAACCTCTGTAACAATTTTGAAAGTGCACTTAATATAATGCTGTTACTATGGTAACCCTGGCAGGCTAGTTTTTTGAAAAGACTCAGATCTGAGTCTGAACAAGGTTATGTCATGATCTTTTACTCTTCTTTCCTCATAAATGTAGCTTTTGCAACAGCACATGCACTCCATAGAAGAGTACATAATTAGACATTTTGAATTGATTCTTTTGACTCAGTAATTATTTCTAAAGTCTGTGTTTTCTTAGAATACTGCCCAAGAAAATCAAAGAACTTAAGGCTGGGGATACAGCACAGTGTATAGAGTGCTTGCCTAGCACGCATGAAGCCCTGAGTTTGATGCCCCATCACCACATAAAACTGGGTATTGTACATTTCTATAATCCCAGCACTCAAAAGGGAGACTGATGCAAGGGGACCATGAATTCAGTCATCCTTGATACACAGTGAATTTGAAGCCAGCAAGAGCTATGTGAGACCTTGTCCTTTTCTTTTCTTCCTTCCTTCCCTCCCTCCCTCCCTCCTTCCCTTCCTTCCTTCCTTCTTTCTTTTCCCCTGAAACAGGGTTTTTCTGTGTAGTCCCGGCTGTCCTAAAATTCATCAGCACTGGTCAGCAAAGGGAGCTGTTCTTTTCCCATCCACCCCATTTTTGTAGTATACAAAATTCTTATTTTGTAAGAATTTCATGAGCAATTCTTACAATAAATCTGTGAAGTAAATAGATACAGGTAAAGATATGGCTTTCTGTGAAACAAAGCAGCCATGGCAAATGAGGCCAAGGCAAGCAGACGTAGGAAACAGGATTGCTTCTACCCTCCAACTGCAAGGTAAGGCTGGGATAAGCTCAGTGATACAGTACTTTCCAGGCATGGCACACACAAGACTCTGAGCATCCTAGTATCACAAAAATAAAAATGAAGAGACAGGCATGGTGGCACACATCTGGAATCCCAGCACTTGGGTGGCGGAGGTAGGGGGATCAGAAGTCCATCCTTAGCTACATGTCATCTGAGCATCATCTTTCATCTGTGGCTTATCAGGCTGGGTCAGAGATTTGTGCTGTGTGCTTTCCCAGTACCCTGCTTATACAAACTAGTACTCTATTTTGAAGTCTTTCAAAACATGTAGTTTCCAAACCCCATAAAACTTAGCATTTTAACCATTTCTCAGTATACAGCTCAACAAAGCTCAACAATTACAAAAAAGTGGAAAAATTTCTCTTAACACCTTTTAGTGAAAGGATATAATTTAGTATCAGTTTACATATATATGCAGCAGGTAAATCAACAACTATAAATACACTTACACAAATGTAAAACTGTATCACATTAAAATATAGTTCAGTAGTAGCACACACCTTTAATCCCAGTCCTCGGGAGGCAGAGACAGGCCTCTCTGTGAGTTTGAGGCCAGCCTGGTCTACAGAGCAAGTTCTAGGACATGCTCCAAAGTTACTGAGAAACGCTTTATTGAAAAAACAAAACAAAACAAAAAACTATATATATATATATATATATATATATATATATATATGTGTGTGTGTGTGTGTGTGTGTGTGTGTGTGTGTGACAAA